GTTTGCATGGGAATGCAAAACAATATTGCGTGGGAACGCAAAAGGGAAAAAAATCCCCCCGTGTCCCCTCGTGGGCTCCCTATCATCTAAATACAGTCAGTCACATTTGAAATAAGAGTGTGGATTCAGTCCATCAGAGACATGAAGTCATCATTCCTGCATATTATTTATTTATTTTGATTTTTTTTTTCACTTCAGGCCTTCATGAGGAAAGTGTCCCTGACTGGAATCGATAAGGTCTGATGCTAATGCTAGTAGGCTATATCTGTTGTTGTGGATTCTCTGTCATCCCATAATGAGAAATTAAAAGAACAAAACCAAAACAACTGGACTTCTGTTCTGTAGTTGACAACATGTGTAGTTTCAAGATTTAAAATGCACAAGGTTGGTATGATTATTATGGTATGATTACATGGCTTAGTGCGACCTCAGGAGGCCGCGTCAGACAGAGGTTGCTTTGAAAAACACCAGATATGTATCAGGATCACATCTGGAATTGGCAAAAATCTGATTTTATTTGGGTAAAAAAATCTGGCGAGAGAAACTTGAGAATCTCTCGGGGGATGGGGGGTGTATCAACTACATTGAATTATTGTGGGGGTCATAACCCCCCGGAAAATTATGCCTATGCTTCTCGGCAAAAAAAAAAAAAGTCCCATTCCTTTTTATGTCCTTAGTTCTTGGTGTTCACTTCAAGCTTGCTCCGTCTTCTCCAAATCCGTTTTTAAAAAGAATACTTCCTCTGTTGGACACAGGTTTTGCTGAGTGCTGTATTTTATAAGCTCACGTTAGGTTTACTGTTTGTATCAATGCGCTAAAACCAGCAGAAAGTGTCCGTAGGGCAGGACTTTTAGCAAAACAGCCCAGACTGTCCCATGCAGAGACGCTACAAAAACTAAACAACTAAACTTCTATAACAGAGGTGCCCAAAGTGGGGCCAAAATTGGCCCACCAAGCCATTTGATTTGGCCCACCAGCAGTGAGGTGAAGAAGTGTAAAAAGCTCAAATTGGCAGAAAGAAGCACAAAAAAGCAGAAATTAGCAGAAGAATAGCCGAAACGAGCAGGTTTATAGCTGAAATGTTAGCGAGGGCCGAATTTGGCCTGCAAACCTTAATTTTGACACAAACATTAGTAACATCTCGCAAATGTTCAGTCAGAAAGCTAACACGGCGTGTTTACCTACTTTATTTTGTAAGTACATTTTATTTTGATTGTAAATTCAAGATCATTTGAAGAGTGGCTGTATTCTGCCCCAGAAAAAAAAAAAAAACTTTTTGGGAGCAGTTACTATTGACATGCATCCATGAACAAAAGTGTGTTTGAACAATGAAATCTAAAGGAAATAGATGTGGTGAGCTGGTAGCTGTAGGGTGACACAGCAACCAGCAGAGCACGCTCACTCACCATCAACAGATCACTGAGCACAGTGGCTCTGAATAGAAAACACTAAATCCTTCCAAGTCATTTCTTTTAGTAATAGATGACAAGATAAGAAAGAGGAAGGCTCGCATGCAAGAAAAGTCTAACATTTTTCTAATTAAAGGCCTTAACTTTGTGAAGAATGTTCCCACAGATGTAAATGGGTAATGCTCATCACATTTTTAAGCTAATCAATGGAAACTCTGCCTGTTTGTCTCAGTCTTCCCATAAGTTGAGGAAAAGAGGCACTTTTTTTCTTCTTCTGCTACCTTTCATTTAATTTATGATTTGTATTTTTTTTGTTGAATTTATTGTTGTTTTTAAAGAAATGAATAAACTAAACTTTAAAAAAAAGTCATTCACCCAGAAGTTGCCAAAGTTTCTTTATGGAACCTGTGAAGAAAGCACAGCTGTGGATCTGAAGCACAGCTCTGAGTGACGGAGAAGAAGACGGGGGTAAATTGGTGCAACAAGCAGGAAGAGAGAACGAGTAAAGACTAATGAAAAGGAGGGTTAAAAGAACAGACGGGCCCTGAAAATAAAACAAAACAAATGAACCAGTTAAGAAAGTATAGAGGAGACAAGAGGAGCCAGGAGAGGTATAAACGACAGAACAAATGGCTAGGATTAACAGGCAAAAAGAGGAAAAGATGACGTGCAGAGGATGAAAACAAATGAGAGGATGAAGAGGAAGAAGAAAGAGTAAAGGGAAACTGAGAAGAGTAGGGAGAGGGAAGAGGAGGTGGGGTAGTGATGAGTCATTACCAGGCTATCATCCCTAGTGGGCCGGGTTGCTGTGGGGGTGGCAGTGTGACACATACGTATGTGGTCCCACACACACACACACACACACACACACACACACACACACACACACACACACACACACAGAGAGAGAGAGAGAGAGAAGATTTCTGGCTGTCACGCTGCTCTATGTCTCCTCCCGCTGCGGAGGCAGGTGGAAGACAATACAGGGATACCACTGAGACATCACATTTCATAGGCGTGTACTTGCAACCCCCCTTTGTCCCCCTCTTTAAGCATACGATGAAGATAGCAAAGCAAAATGTAACAATAAACAGTTAATACAGATATGGGAGAAAACTGGAGGAAGAGCAGCTCCATGTGCACCTCATGCATACACTTCCCCTCATCATTCATACTTTATTAGGTGGTGCAAATATGCAGAGGTGGCTTAGAGGAAGATGTGCAAAAATCACACACGACAATAGAAAGAGGACATACAGCATGTTCCTCATGCTTCATGCACCTATAAACAAGCTGAAATCCAATGTAGACAGTAAGATTGTTAACCAAACCGTGTTGCATTATTAGTACTAGTGTGGGTTTCAAGTGTTTCTAATCAGCCCATCACAGCTGATGGTGCAATTAAATTTAACCCAAACGTAAAGTTGGGTCAGACTGGCCAGACACCGTGTGTGTGTGTGAGAGAAGTCACATCCAGATCTTCCTCACCTCAGTTTGTGATGCTCTTTGGTGTTTAGTCGATCTCAGTTGCCATGCCAACAGATTGAGGGGTGGGTGGGGGGATTCCTAACGCTGATCTAGGCCACTGCACATGTGCGTTAGGTCCATGGATGCATACAATCGAGGCACACACATGAACACTTCCCAGCAACAAGTTAAGAGAAGCTCATCAGAAGCAGCTGCGCGTCACGGTGTTGAAAACTCAATGTTTATGGCAGGGTAAATTTTATATATAT